TCAACGTCGTTGCGAGGGTGGCAGCTCTAGTTCCTGTGGGTGGCTATGCTCCTTAAAAGTTAAAATCACAGTATGCGGTTTGTCAAGATTCTTTTTTAGTTATTTTGAAGGTAAATTAACTAAATAAGAAATGGTTAAGTTCAGTAAAAGACAATGTTTAACTTAATTATAATTTGTTTGTTGAGAAAAAAAATAAAGTTTAATTGCACCTCTACTCCGGTATTTCTTATGTTTTATCTCTTAATTTTATTTTATTTTTTTGTAAAATTGATCTCTCACTGTTTTAATTCACGATGAAGGATGAGTTTAATAAACGTTAAAGTTAGAATATTTTAATTATCGGTTATGTGTAATCGATTATTGTTATAATTGGTTTGTGATTGGAATACATTTTTGTTTGAATAAACTTGCTAAAAAACAATTTTAAGATATTTAATTTTAATTGTATACAACAAAAATAAATTTTTTTTAGCAAAATTAGTAGTAGAAGAAAACAAAAAGTTAAAAAATTATTATAAATTTTAAATTTTTAGATTAAAAAAAGTATTTTTCAAAAAGAAAAAAATTACAAATTGAAATTATTAACAATTAGTATTTTTTATACAAAAGTTTTTTTTTTTTTTCACAATCGTCGAAATTATAGAGAAATTTATCATACTTATAAAAATACATCACTTTCATTAACACAATAATAAAGAAGTTCTCACACTATTAGCACCTTCAAACATGGCTTAAAACTTATTTATTTTTTAAATTAAATACATATTCACACTCAGCAAACATCAAGGAACATAATAGAAAACTTCAGCATTAAAACAAAAAATATTCATATTTTGTCTGTTTCTCGTAGGGTTTCCCATAGGAACCTATAGAGCACTTTAATCCCTATCAAAACATATTCAAACTCAAAATTAAACATACATTCATGCTAAGTAATCATTAGGGAACACAACAAAAAATTCAGAATTTAAAACAAAAATCATTCAAAATTTGTCTGTTTCTCGTAGGGTTTCCCATAGGAACCCATAGAGTACTCTAATTCATATCAAAACATATTCAAATTCAGAATTAAACATACATTAATGCTTAGTAATCATCAGGAAATACAACAGAAAACTCATAAGCCAAAATGATGGAATCACACTAAGGCCAAAAAAGACCAAGAGGTGATATATTGAAGGAGGCAAGAGGAATGGGTTAGTTTTGAAAATCATAAGAGGAGTGGGCCTACTTTTGGGCCTTAGCTCCTACGTTTTTTTATTAGTATAGGATTTATTCCTATTTTACCCTTATCTTTAATTTCCTATATTTACCCTTGTATTTTGGGGTGTCTTATTTATAGGATTTATTTTTACTTGTATTTCTCATTTTACCCTTATATTATGAGGTGCCTTAGATTATAGGATTTTATTTTATAGCTAGGGTAATTTATTAGGGTGAGAAAATAAGGCCTAGACTTCTCTTTTGGTAGCCTTGGATTTATTTTTGGACTTGGCAAGGTTTAGGCCCAAGTGGAGGGCACCTAGGTTGCATGGTCTTATCATGCACCTAGATGTAGCTTAACCAAACCCAAAGATTCCATCCTTGGCCACCAAGTAGCATCTAGGATTAATTTAGGTTTCATTCGAAGTGCATTTGGCTTGCATTTTTCTCAAATGTAACCCTGTACTATCCACATCGGACACCGAGCTCAAGCTCGGCGCCCAAGCGCCGCACAACCTCGGATAGGCGCTACATGATATCAGTCAAAGTAAAGGCCCAATGCCTATTGGGCCGTAGCCAACCTCAAGCCCAGATCAATCTTATCATTGCCCAAGAGGAAACCCTAATTCCACATCAAGGTACGTGCACTATATATACGAGACACTCATATGATCAAACACTAACTTTAGCATCAGAGTCTCTTTTGCAGGTACCACCCCCATCTCGAAGCAGCCGACGTACCCAGCAAAGAAGGCTCACCAATCTTGCCCAGCAGATCGTCCCTCTTGACCAATCTTAGGTTAGATCATTTGGCGCCCACTGTGGGGCAGATCAAGAAGTCTCTTATCGTTCACGCTTATGTTTTTCACCCGAAGCCATAGTAGAAGAGCAAAAGTGCCATCCACAAAAGGATGACGGCGGAAAGTTTCTTGACCCGCTGTGGCATGAGTGGGGGTCCTGCTGACATCCTAAGTCAACTTGTGCGTCGGTGCATGAGATCGATGCGTGGCAAGTCTGGGGGTTGGAACCCTAGTTGCGGCTGGTGGCTGAGAAACCAAGTTGCCTTCCTCCTCATGAAGATGGCTCGGCTGAGGGGGTTGATCAGAGGGACGCCGAGGGAGTTGAGCGCGAATACGCTCATTCTCGGCGCGCAACGCCGCTAGGTCAGCTTCATTAGCGGTCCGCATCGCCTCTAGGTCAGTTTCGTGCTTGGCACGCATGTTGCGCAGATCGACGTCGTGTTGTTGCGGCATCTGTTCGACCTGGTCGATCAGTCTCCTCAATGTGGCTTCGTTATCCATGGCAGCTGCGTCGTCTGCTGCGCGTCTACTATGGCTTCTGGTGAAAACCATAAGCGTGGCCGATAAGAGCTGTCTTGATCGGCCCCACGGTGGGCGCCAAATGTTCTTACCGGAGATCTGTCGTAGAGATGATCCGCTGAGTAAGATCGGCGAGCCTCCTTCGCTGGTACGCTTGGTGCTCCAAGATGGGGGTGGTACCTGCAAAAGACACTCCGATGCTAAAGTTAGGGTTTGTATGAGTATGAGTCTCGTATAAGTAATGCACGTACCTTAGTGTAAGTTAGGGTTGCGTTGGGCCTTGGGCCTAAGATCGGTTATGATATGATTGGATAGCGGATCTCGTCTGGAGCGAGATCTCCTCAGATCAGTTATGATCTGATTAGATAGTGTATCTCGTCTAAGCCGAAGTCCTTTAGCGCGTGCCCGAGGTTACGTCGCACTGTGATGCCGAGCCCGAACTCGGCGTAGCAGTACGGATAGTACAATATATATATATATATATATA